AGATCATCAGATGGTCGGCGTTAAATATGACCAAACCATCTAAGACGATTTTCTCTAATTTTGTCTGTCACAAGAGCTACACCAAACCTATCACGGATATATTCATTTCGCATTTTGTCTTTAAATATAAAGCCACTCATCCACCTAAGCATTCTCATCTCGGCAACACTTAACTTATTATGCTTCTCTTTTAAAGACCAACATTCATTTTGTATTTTGTCTCTAAGTGTAAAGCCACTCATTCACTCATATTTCTGAAATCTTCAACTAAAATGAATGTTTTAATAAGATAAATTAAAATAAGCTAAAGTTGTTATGACCCGAGTCTAAATAAGCCTAAATCAAGCACCAAATGTATCAATAAAATCTTTGTGATACTATTTTGAGGAACAAAATGATTTCTTATTTCTGAAGTGCCTTCAAATATAAGGAGGGTCGTCTAACAAATCCAAGATTACTCAATTATGTGATTTTTAAGACATTTAAATAATTTATTGATGAGGTATTTAAAAGGGCCCTTTCATAGAGTATTTGAGGATTTAAGCTAAAAAAACTAACAGACCACTCTAAGAAATTATAAGCAGATTTGTATTCTTCGCATGAAAGAAATCTAAAACTTGAGAGAGCATTGAAATTTGAGGCATAGTAAAACGATGATTGATGCCAACAATCACCACCAACAAATAATGTTACCTATCAATCATCGCATGCTTGGTTTCACCCGACAAATGTCGTCTGACTATCATCTTCCGACTAAGATCAATTGAACATCATCTCTTAACTATCACTTTGGAATTTGTCTCCAGTTAAATAACATTAATGTATAATGCTATCTTCTTCCATTGATCATCAACTGACATTGACGTTCACCATCCCTCGCAGCTTCTTTAGTACGTTACAGTGTACACACAGTAGACTTGAGTTAGCGATACAAACTTTATAACCTTGTCATTCCAAATAGGGGAAAAGGAAGACGTCTATGGTCTTATGTAATGAATTACTTTTACTAAGTCGGGTATTATAGTTTTCTGTTCCTGAGATTTCATCATTAAAACTTTGGTTTCTAAGCTTATTAGCATATATGCGGAATTGTATAATATCAGAACATGAAATTCTCATTTTGCTTCTGCAAAGTTTATTGCATGGAATAGATAGAGCATATGGAGATTTTGGCAAAAAATAAGCTGTGTAACTATAAAAAAAATCATAAATAGACATTTTTCACACAAAGTATCTAAAATTGGGGAAATCTTCAAAATTAACAAAATCATAAACCTTTGTTTGTTATTTGATGCCATCAACAACCACCGATAATTATTGATGCATGGTTGTTATCCTTAACAATTGTTGTTTCATTATCATCTCCCGTATTCAATGCACAACTGCTTTCACCCAATTGTCATCTCCTGACTATCAACTCCTAAAAATCGTCTCATTTAGCAAACTTACATCAACGTTCGCTACTTTTTGCCTTGGCCGAAGGCAATTGACATAAACTTTTATCATCCTTGCTTGATTCTACAATACTTTCCATTATAATTTTAGGAGATAGTCTTAGCAATTTGTATTGATTAATATCATATATTTTTTTCAATTAAAGGAAATGACAAACTTCTATAAAACCAAGCTAAGCCCCATTATTTTTATATTTAAGAGTTTTCAAATAAAAAGTTCTCTTATTAGCACATCTTATTTATATTTGTGGAACTTTGTGCAATACTAAGATAAGAAATTCTCAATATATTACAACAATTTTTCTAGCACATAATAATTAGGTGCCGCAATTGAAAAATACTCTTACAATTTTACAAATACTTCCTAAATTATTTATAAGTTTAAAGACCATCACAATGAAGCAACTTTATCTAGGGCTATCAAAAAAACTTGTTAGCGAATAACTCATGTTCGAATAGTTAAGTATCTCATATTTGAATCATTTATTTAGGTCTCTCATGTATTTTTCTGTATTTTCTATTTTTAGAACCATTTGCATGTGGTGGTTATCATGTGGCCAGAGTGTCATATTTGGGCCCTCCAACACAATCTAACAGCTCATATGATCATGTAGCTATGTGTCTTCTATTGCACAAAAATGGTGCAGATTTGAATCTAACATTCTACATCTAATTTATCTAATTAATATTAATGAGCCAATTTTGAGCTGAGCATGAGTCGAACACGAATAAGAATATGTAAATTGAGTCAAACACGAAGACATTGTTCATGAACAATTTCGAATACGAGCCAAATTTGAACGAGTCGAACATCAGTCAATCCTAAGTTGGCTCGTTTACAGCCCTAGCTCTATCATTCATCAATCGGTGAATCAATCCCTTAGTTAAGGTCATCATAATCTAGCCAGTAAAATTCTCCCATGATTATAGTTGAAAGATTGTATTTATTGGATGGATCGATATAAAGCTCAAATCCTTCAACTCTTAAAAGAGGTTCAATAATAGAGAATTGTAACAAAATATAATTTCTACCTTCAACTCTTAAAAGAGGTTCAATAATAGAGAATATCATTGTAACAAAATATAATTTCTGAACCACAAAATCAACAAGTCAATACAAGTGAATTTGAGGACAAAATCTCTTTGATGGTGTTATTTCAACCATCTTTTTTGTGTTTTTTTAACTTATTCCGACCAAGTCCACAAGCTTAAAATTTCAAATGAAAGAATAGACTGTTGGACCAAAATAAAAGTTTAATTTTATTTTCTGTTATTAACAATTAATTATTCAAATTAATTGAAATAGCCACTAACCAAAAAAAAATTACTTTCAACCAAAAACAAGTATTAGAGCCCATCAAACATTCACCTTTATGTTTTCTTCCACATTTGGCACAAGTGACTACTGTACCCTAAGTCATACATCTGCTAACTCCACTCAACTTATTCGTAGACTTCTTCCCATTTGAACCCTCCGATTGATCCATATGATCTTCTTTTTCTCGCTCTTCCACTTGTGCGTGTCCTTACACTTCTGAGTAAGCTGATAGTTGATCTCCACTATTCTAGCTCGTTTAACTAATACAGAGTATTCATCGATCCAAAAAGGTACTAAAGGTTATCTGATAGAATCTTTTAATCTCGAAAGGAATCTATAGCACTTTTTTCTGCAACAGCGATCAACTGTGACACATACCTCTATAATGCAGTAAGTTCTGCTTCATACTGAACGTCTTCTCTCCTTCCTCAACTTGACGAACTTATCATGCATCTATCTTCAAGTGGATAGAGGTACAAACCATTCTTTGATTAATTCCACAAATTTCTTCCAACTGACCATCAAATTTGGTATGTCTCCTAGCTTGTCCTGATGTTGGACATGCCACCATCTTCTAGCTTCTCCATCTAGCACAGACATCACCAACAATACTCTTCTTTCATCCGGACAAGCCATGCTATCTAGTACCTTCTCTATCCTCATTTGTCAATTATTTGCTTCAATTACATCTTTAGTTCCCTCAACAGAGGTGGACACAAATCTTGAAATATTTTCAAATACTTATCTATAACGATTGTATCACTCTCTGTAGACTGTCACCCCGACTCCTGAATCAGCAGAGTTAATGCCGTCATCATTTGGGTGAGGAGATTTGTGTTTACATTTATAATAGGTTGCATTTCTTCATTTTCTATCATATTCTCTTCTTCTATAATTTCGACAATATCGCTATGCTTGAATGTATATAATTTTATTTAGTTTTTTTTTTATTATTAAAAATTTCTTATAACCATCTGATTGGCTCTTTCATGAAGATTCAACTAATTAATCATCAATTTGCTCTAATACTACTTTTGTTACAACCTGGCTCGAAGGTTGGAATTAACCAAGACGGGAATGGACGGTTGGAGGGTGTAAATAAAATCTTCTATATAACTTTGGTCATGATTTGTCCCTAGGCTTGGAATTAACCAAGACAGGAACAAACAATCGACGATGTGAATCAAAATTTTCCATATTAATCTACAATTTAACAGTGAAAGGGCAACTAATAAGATTAAATTAAAGTGTTAAAATTAAAATTACCTCGTTACTAGTCCTCGTCGTTTATAATCTTTTTCTTGTTTATCGTTCATCTTTTAATAATTTAATTAAACCTGAAAAGTTAGTTGAAACAGCAATAAGCTAAACAAAGCTAATGAATATTCATACTTCTAAACTATAGTAATTAAATAAAAAAAGGAAACAATATGCATGCTAGTTAAATAGTTTAATAAATTAATATAAATATTTGATATCACTATCATTCATAATCTTACTGTATAATTAGCATATTATTATCATTTCATATCTATAAAACTGTCACAGGAGTTCCACCCAAAAATTATGTCAATTAAAGACACATTAATATAAATATTCTTTTTCATATACGTACATAGATACCGTAGTGTTCCCCACTAGTATCATTAAGGGGTGACTCTATCATAGTCAGACATGCACATACACGCAATCGACATAAACATCTCATTCGTGTATTTGTCATATTCAACTCTAACGTACTATATAAAATATACATTAAATGCATAAGAGTAGGTAACTACATATTCATAATAATGACGGATAAAGAAAAAAATATCTCAATCAGAATAAAGCATGTGCAGATGTCGTCAAGTACAAAATATTTGAGAAAACACGAATTATTGTTATAGATTAAAAGTATAAGTACTCATCTTGATGTCGATTAATTTGTGCCTGAATTTTCCTCGACGTCGATCTTTTAAAATTAGAAACCTAACATAACCATGATATTATTATTAATAAACAATTACCCTTTCATTAATTAAGTATTTAACTTTTCATTATATAATCTCGTTTACTTTCTATTTATATATACCTTACCAAGGTCGACCGTGCTTCGTCTTCCTCCTCTCGGCGCAAACCGGATCGCATCAATTGCAAGCTTCCTCGCCTGCTTGACAACACACGAGCAATAGTTTCCTCTTCATCTTCTTTGATTGCGGCTAGAAACCTATGTCAACACCTGCTACGCTCTTTGCCCTAGCCACCCACACGATCCCAAGAACCCAATTTCGCTTCCCTTGACATTGTCATTCAACTCTGAGGCAAGCCTCAACTCCCTCATACGTGCGAACTTCCTGACCTTAACGCTTCTCCTCCTTTTCATCCATTTACCCCACCCCCTCCCCTTTCCTCTTCCTCTGGTTGCCTGACCCTTCATTTCTTCTTCTTTGATTCTTCGTTTCATGTTCCTCTGTGTAACAGAACCGTTACAAAGATTCTTAGTTATAAGAATTTTCATGTCAATCGTCTTAATGGCAAAGCCATCCATCTAAATCAAGCTAAATACTATTCAAATGCAACAAAAAATATAAGTAGCTTGTATAGAAAGGAAGAATCCTAAGAATTTGATCACATATATTGTTGCCTTGAAAAATATGACAGCATAAATAAAAGAATTACCTTCCGTAAGCTATCATCTAGTAGCCGGGATGATACTCTTTTATTGAGAACATGTATGCGATCCATCGAAAAACCATTGGCAACAGAAACAGCTTGAATGTAAGCATATCCTTTCTCTTGGAACCCATGAAGGCTTGAGATAACTTTTGAAGTTTCAGAGAGAGTTGCAGCAAGTACAGTTAATAAAATGCTATCATCAGCAACAACACACAATGGAGCTTCTCTTACTCGTTGTAACTGCATGGAAGAAGCTGCCTTTTATGAATAAAGATGGTAACATATAAGGAACAAAAAAAGAAACATTCATAACACCAAAAAAAAAATTTTGAAGCAAAAGAAATGATTGGCAAGATTGAAAAGAATACGGATGAATGAACCCCATGATAGGCAAGTTTGATGAAAAATGAATACAAGTTGGCATCAACATGTATCCTTCTAGCTTTTAGTATTAAAGATCCTTATGCATAAAGGCCCAATATCATTCCATGTGCTCGTGCCTATAAAATAATCATACCAATTTAAAACCCCACTTCATCATCATTAGCCTTCTAGGAACAATTTGGATCTTTTCTTTATTCCTATAAAAGTGAAAACTTTATTTAAGGCCAATCATTTTGCATTCTTCTATTTTTTTCCTTACCTTCCGAATCCTTTCATCATTACTCCTATCAATTAGTTTAAAAGAAACAACTTCCACCCTCCTTTCTACATTCTCAAACTACCACAATCTATTTCAATTTTCATCTTCAATAATTGTTACTCCCACTCTCTCTCCAAAATAATCATTTCTATGTCAGCCGTTTAGTTTCTATCATCTTGATTCTTATTGTCAAAATAAACATTTTAATATTTTCTTTGTATACCTTTTGTATTGTACAGTTTTGAATGTTTATAGCATACGGCAGAAGTAAATATAAGAACTTTTTTTTTTGTATGTATGATTTTATTTTGAAGTATTTTTGAAAGTTATATATTTTATTTGAGAATTGTTTTATACATGCTTCCATATTACTATTTGTTTATGAATAGTAGAGTAGTTGAAATGTAATTGTACTTTAGGTGACAATTTAGAAGGACTAATTCTGCATTCATCTAATTCAAACAAGTATAAGTCAAGATTAAAGTCATAAAAACTGGATCTGACCTAATCGCTCTCTCTTTTTACACATCAGGTTGACCTAAGGGGGTCGATTGAGGTGTGATTGATCCCTTTTCAGCAATTCAGGTATGTTCTCAAAATCTTGCTTATGGATCGTATGTTCTTATGGAGATAGTGATTGATGTTAATATTCAAACTATCCCATTGGTATAGTTCACTTCATCAACTATTGATATTATCAACTAGAATACTTTGCAAGTACTTGAAATACTTCTCTACTTGTGAATAAAACAAAGATCGTATAATTCCGATTGTAGCATTCAGAATATTGACTCTCTGGGGTCGTAAAATTTCATATTTTTATATCAGATGGAGTATTAATTAAAAGAAAAATTTATCAACGCTCACCTTTTTTCACTAGATTTTAAGCTAAAAAATCTATATGAATATTTTGCATATTTTTTGTGATGTATTATTATTCAATTAGCACTATCATTTCTTCATAAATACTTTTGTTTTGCTCCTATCATTATCAAGTTAATAAAATTTGCTTTAAAAAAAAAATTGGGGGCAGCTCTTCAGGCCATCAAATATATTCCAACCTACAATTTCCTTAATTTCTTCATTTAACAGGAGCATGTAATCCTGTACTTCACTTCTGTAAAAAAGTAATATTCCACTTCATTTTACCTCCTCCATAAAACTTAGATGAATTTACAATCACGGTAAAAACACAACCTTCTTCGAGTAGAATTTCTGAAAATCATTGCTAACTGCACTGTTATTCCTATTCCCGCTGCTTCAAAATTTCAACCTCTTTTTAGTTTTTACATATCTTAAGAAGCAACGTGCATACGTTAAAAAAGAAATCACAATTCTGATTCTGAGTCTGATTGTGTTTATGGCATAGAAAGTTGATTAGCATAATTAAAAATTTAATGCTAATTAGTATGGTTCGATGGTAATGATCACTGGTTTTGATTTTTTAAGAGCAATATGGTATTCTTTGTGGATGCTGTAATGGAAATAATTTGCCACTTTTTAAAAAAGTATATAGGAGGATAGTATTAAAGTCCCGAATTTTAAGCAGTATCCATATTTGTATAATTTTAGGGTGGACATTGTTATATTGCAAGCAATGAGAAGTTTAATATTATTCTGCAATCAAGGATCAAGATTTACCGAAGCTAGAATTTTTTCATTTCATTTGAGCTGGCATAAGTTAAATTATCAGAATGAAGAAACTTTAGAGTTGTGAACATTTTATACCACCTGAGTTGTAGATGATACAAATGTCAAAATTTATACACGTAAGGAATACAGGAGATGTGCATCAAAATCTATACTCCAGATTTTATTTCAGCTTTTTTCATTTTCTTAGATTTTTATTCTATTTTAAATTATTGAAAAATATGCCTATGATGACAGTCCCCATAGAGAGCGAATTGTACTCTCATATCGGTTTGACTGGACTTACCTTTGGTCTGTTGCGGATAATTTGATTTTCTGTTTCCCTGGATTAGTTACAATTGGTGTGTTGGCTTTGGTTGTGTTCATTGTTTTGTTATCTTGCTGGTTAGCTAGTTTTTTGGTTCTTTCAACTTGCCATTGTTTGTTCTCTATTTCCCTAGCCATTGGGTCTTTTATTCCTTCAATCGATTAGTCTATGTGCCCTCCTTAAAAGGTGTGCATTATGCATTAATAAAAAAAAAGGTTATAAAAGAATGCATCTAAGCATATACAGTGTGATCTACATCAACCTTAAGCAAACTCAAAAAGAAGGGATCATAGTCAGTAGGTTTACTGTTATGTTCCCTCGGTACAAAAAATAAAGAAAAGCTAAGTAAGATAAAAGAAACAAATCTGGAACAAAAATAGGATATCCTGTTATGTTCCCTCGGTACAAAAAATAAAAGCGCCTTTCTAAAAAAAGAAAGAAAAGCTAAGTAAGAGCAAATGCTACTCTGGTTGATCACAGCGCTCAAGTTTATGCACAACTGATGAAATTTGATAACATTTACATAGTCTTGCTCAATTATAATGCCCTTCAACTCATCCATCCAGGGCTCAATGATTCTCTTCATGGAGCGAATCACTTCAAGTTCTACCTTTGTGCTGTCTCAGTGTTATGATTCTTGTCGAAAAGCCACCACAAGATCACCATTTTCATCATGAATGGCAACTCCAATGCACAAGACCGTATGATGTTGTTATGGTACTTGCTATTGAAAATGGTGCATTAGAATCTGCCTTGATTGCTACCCTGGGAAAAAACATCCATGGCAGCTGTTTGGTCTTCCATAAATCTAGTTGGACCCTTTTAGAGTCTAAAGATTATACAAATCAATTCATCACATCTGTTTGGACTGATGTAAACTTTGTTTGGTAGGCGCTAATTCTCTAATCAAGACAACAACCTATTCTGGAAGCTGTATTTTTCAATCCAGGCATATGGTATTCCTTGCAGTTGGGTGCAGGATTGATTCCAGCTTTCTTTGAAAAGACTATTTTTCAGACTTTTGAAAACTACCAGCATCAAATTAGAATATATATAAAAGGAAACATTTTATTCAGAAATTCTTTCATGTCAATATTATTTTTCATTTGTACACATTTTTTGTTAATTATAAGCAGATGTTATATACCTTTGAAGAATTTATGAAATAAAAAAGTTTTTCTTCTCCTTTCCCTATAGTTTTACAAACTAGTGTTGTCAATTGAGCTCTGTGATGTTGTGGATTTATACTCTTAAAATTCACGTCACCTGAAAGCGTTAAAGCCATAGTTGAAATTAAAGCGTTTTTTTTTTAATCGGGATGCTAATGACCTTTTATTATAAATAAGATATCTGTGCCTCTTAGATTTGAATTTTTTTTAACTGTGGTGCGAGTGTTATTTAACAACTACAGAAAAACTCATCTTCTCATATCGATATGACTTGGATCTCTTGGTTACTTATTTTTGTGTTACCTTGTCATCTATGTAATTGATAATTGGTTTGTATGTGTAATTAAATTTGGTCTGATCTAGTACAATAAGAGCATTTGACTGCAGTGATTTCTATTTAAATTATGATTTTCTCGAGATTTCAAATTTCTCAAAATAGTTTTAATTAGAATATGAAAATCGTTAGATTATTATTTGGTATGAATGTTTTAGTATTCACCAAAAAAAGGTAAATATTTGTCTAATTAAAAATTTATGGACCTCAAATATGGTCATATGTACATGATTTGTGCATCATATCCTAGACATGAACTAAAAACTCTTACATCCTAAATTTTCAGCATTTGTGGGATGCTACAAAAAGGATCCAACCATATAAGAGGTGATGTATTCATGTATTTTTTATCGATATTATATTCTATATCTTCCATACATTTAATTCAGATTTATGAAGACTTCTCCCACACATCGCAACTAGCCTTTTTTTCTTTTTTTAGTTTAATTAATTATTATGTTTATATATTTAATTATATTTCAGTTAATACCAGTTGGTAACAATTTGACAAAAACAAAAACTCTGAAGATAATCAGAGAACAATACTTAATGCTGACTGAGAAGCCACACTCACAGCATTCTTGACTGCTATCAGAAATGCAGATCTCAAATCCTTTTCTCCATAAATTCCAATACGCTCCGGTGATAGAGAAAGATGAGAGTCATGGGAATGGAAAGAACTGCGGGCAGTTTTTTTATCACTGCTGAGAATGTATGAAACATTGGTAACATTATGGACAGCTTTGAAGAAAATATTTCTATCCCGGGACACGGACACTCCTTCACCTGGAATGAACCAAACGCACTGTCTCCAATGATCGCACCAATAGTCAACACCTATAAGTTACCAAAGCAAAACTATAAAAAAGAACATAATTGAATGAAATGTGCAATAGCTAGATCAGTTGAGCATATGGTAACTTGCATGTAGCAAAATTGGAACGAACAGAAGAAGAAAAGGTGCTGCCTATGGTGCACAGAATTGTTGGTGGCGCATTCTCATATGTATTGAAAGAATTTCAAACTGTTAAAACTCATCCAGATAGTAGAATAAATCACTCCGCAGTACTAATTACTAGTTTTTGATCCAACAGTAACTTGAAAAATAAAACTAATGTGTCATCAAGAAATTTTAACATCAATCACGAATCATGATACATTTTGAGCAAGAAATATTCTAAATTCAAGGTCATCGAAGCCCCAATTTAATCAAATTTATAGTCAAATTGAGCGGCTAGACAAGATGAACCCAATGACACAAAATGTGATTCAACTCAAATTCAATCAAGCACGTATCAAGCATTTAAAAGCGCAATTGAAAACTTCGAAACGTTAATTGAATGATAATTTGACATATTTATAGTCAAAACGAGCAATTAGACAAGGAATCTACTAAGCACAATAAGTCACTTGAATGCTGAAAAACTAATCTACGACCAAAAGAAACAACACGGAATGTTCGATGGAGTGCTTGGGAATTTAGGCCAAAATAACCAAAATGCCCTCTAAAAAAATTATAAATAAATCTTAATTTTTTTTATTTAGCAGGTTTGT